ATCTTGTACGACTCGGAGTCAAGTTGTTGGCCCTGGTGGCACAGGTGCATTTTTGGCGTACGACATGAATTTTTACGCAAATACATTCATTCATATTTTGAGAAGTACTAGGAAAAAAAAAAAAAAAAAAGTCAACAAAATAATTTAAAAAAAACTTCAAAAGGTGGTTACATTACCTAGCATGAGATGCACAAACAACCAGAGGTAGCAACCTCAGAGCGCAACCACATAACTTACACTTATAACAATTTGGTTGGGAAGTGGGAGTCATATACGAATACGTTGTAGGCATATTCTGGCGTAAGTGACACCCACTTCCCAACCGTGTTGATTTCTTTACCGTTCTGATGCTACCGGCTGACCCTTGGCTGGTATCGCCCACCTGCTGTAGCAGGTATCGCACCTGCTGGTGGGTGCAGCTCCCGCATGTTCCCTCGCTGGAGGCATGAGCACGGATGTGGCTGCTACGGGGTTCCCCGCAATACTATAATAATAGAAAAAAAAGGCATGAAGTGGGAGGAAAAAAAAAATGAGGGGGGGGGGGGGGGGGCCAAATAACACCAAAAAAACACGCAATTCTATAGGACCGGGCCGCAGTACACGACCGCCACACACACACACACACGCACTCTCTCATGTATCATGTACCGAAATGTGGATCAAGAACCATGTTGGATACGTGTTCGTTCATGTTCGAGGCCTGTACGAAACCATGTTGGAATCGTTGAGAAAAAGTTGGAGACCTGTTGGAAACCATGTTGGACTCGTTGGGAATAAGTTGATAATGTTGATGAGTAGTTGAACACAGCAGAAGACCCAGTTTCAACAGTTCTTCACAGTCCTTCTGACGTGAATAAGTAGACATCAAAAAAAAAAATTGTTGAATTACAGCGACAATTTTTCTGTTGTCTTAGGGGAACCATTCGTACAAATATCCCGGATGCTCGACTCTTCGGAACTCCCTCGGACCTTATACTAAGCCACTATCCCACTTCTCTCGAGATATAAAGACAAGGGAGCATTTTGTAACATCTCAGGGATACCTCGTTCCTTGCTGTCTTCCGGAAAAGAGGTTCGATTACTACGGCAGGGGGACGAAGGTGAAGCTTTGGAATCCCCTGAACGTGACGACTCTACACCCTATGAGCTCGGAATCAAAATCGCCGAGAAACCAGTGTGCTGGCAGGATATCAGCGATGGCGTGATCCCGGAAGAACACGTCGCATCCGAGAGGAGGATGCTCAGATGGTTGTCACCATGTTTTCCTGGCGGTCAGACAACTCCTTCATCTCTGCTCCCCCGGCGGAGAGCAGCCCCAGAGTAGGCGCGGAGCACGTGACGGTTACCATATATGGATATCCCTACGAGCTACGTGTGCCTCAGTTTGTACCCAATAAAACTCATCGATTAATTGCGGGTATTCTAACCGAATACCAAGAGGCGATCAGTGTGACGGATATGGATATCGGACTGTCCTTAGTCATTCAACATGAAATTCAGACCGGAACGCACCCGCTGATCCACTGTAAACCATACCGATATTCTCTCGCGGAACGAAAGTGGTATTGCAAAAAATCAGAGAATTTGAGGCTAACGGATGGATCGAACCGGCAACGGAACCCTGGTCGTTTCCCGTGGTCTTAGTCCCGAAGAAAAATGGGCCGATTCGCATTTGCATTGATTGCAGGAAGCTGAATGATATCACGATTAAGGATGTGTACCCCCTTCCCCAGATTGATGATCTATTGGATGCGATTGGGTGTGCTAAGTATTTTAGTAAGTTTGATATTCATCATGGATTTCATCATATTCTGGTCAAGGAGGAGGATCGCCCGAAAACGGCCTTTGTGTTATTCGAGGGCACCTGGCAGTGGGTCCGTTGCCCGATGGGAATCTGCAATGCGCCAACTACTTTTCAAAGAGCGATGCACGTCACGTTTCAAAATTTCGTCAACAAGACCGGGCTAACTCAGGGCATGGCTACGTCATTGTGTACATGGACGACATCCTGGTCTACTCGGAATCATTCCACGGGCATGCACAACATGTCGAATGGACACTTGGGGCGTTGCAGGATGCTGGCTTCAAGATTCCGTTGGAGAAAAGTGAGTTTTTCCTTTCGGAAATCTCGTTCCTGGGGTACGTGGTGACCCAGGGAGGCTTACAACCGGATTCGAGGAAGGTCGCGACCGTTCGGGACGCCCCTACACCGACGACATTGACACAAGTCCGACCCTTTTGGGGACTCGTCGATTTATCAAGGGTTTTGCAACAGTCGTATGGCCTTCAACAAATCTTCTTCGGAAGGACCAACCGCTGAGTTGGGACGCCGAGTGTGAACAGGCCTTTGTCACCTTAAAGGAGGCTTTGGCCACAACACCTATTTTGATTCGGTCTGACCCGGGGAAGCAATTCATACTCATTACGGACTGGCAGCCCGAAGCAATCTCCGCTATTTTGGCTCAGAAGGGGAAAGACGGCCGCGGACACGTCATAGAGTACGCTTCGCGAACGGTACCGGATGAGAGAAGAAACGATTCGGCTCCTCAGGGGGAGTGCTACATGGTGATATGGAGGATTCAACACTTCCAACCGTATTTGTACGGACAGATGTTCCTCCTCGTTATGAACCATGAGCCTCTGCTGGCTCTCAAGAGGCTTACCAACTAAACCGGCATGATCAGACGATGGGCTGTGCGACTACAAGAATACGATTTCGATATCGTCCACCGGAAGACAGAGAAGCACGGCAATACCGACGGATTGACACGATTGTATCGCCCTAGGCCAAGTGTGAAGAAATCACACCGTGGAAGGAATCAAACCAACCAGCAAGCCCTCGTGCGGCCTGGTGGCCATCCTCCTTCGGACCTCCAAGAAGTGACCGGCAGACACGATGGCGATGGACCATGGAGGTAATCCCGAAGGTCCTCTTTCTCCCCTGTCGTCTTCCTGTTTCCTTTTCCTGCCCGACAAATTTTGCTACTTTTGCGAAGTAATCTCGAGGGTCTATTCGGTCCCTATGCGTCCTAGCGGGGAGGGGTATGTCGAGTGGGTAGACTGTCAGCAATGTGTCTCTCGAGCCCACGGTTCCTGCATCCAGTATAGAAATACGATTAAATCTTGCTTATGTCCCTTATGCCGCACTGATAAAATTCTGACAGAAGCTTGATTTCTTGAAGCCACGTAGAAAGCGCTAGAAAATACCCAACGATTTAGAAGGGCCGAAGTGTGGACAGATGTCGTCTTGATAGCTACGGTGGTTGGGAACTCCCTCCACTAACTTGAAGGAGGACCGGAGGGGGGCCAATAAGAGGGCACGGGACTACAGATGGAGTGAGGGACGGTTAGAAAAGCGGAAGACAGATGGTAGTGGGATTTGGATATTTGTGCCTCATCCGTTCATGAGATAAAACTGGGTCAAGTCGGCCCACGAGGAAACGGCGACCCACTTCGCCGTCCGAATCACGGAGGCGGCAATCGATAAAAACGAATGGTACAGGTCCAATATTTGCGACAACGTTAAATTCATCGTTCGAAACTGTCCCGTATGTGTCGCCGACAACGGGTCGATTCAGCCGCCTAGATCGATAGTGCCCACTATAGTTGAACGGTCGTTCCAAAGGGTCAACATGGATACCACATATATTGTCGTGTCCCCTGGAGCAAATAGATGTGAATATTCACTTCTTTTGGTATTTGTAGACCACTTTTCGAAATGGATCAAGGCGTATCCCTGTAAGACGCGACAAGCGACAGAAATCTCGTGGTATGTCAACCGTTTTCTCGGGATGCATCAGGACACCGAGAAAATTCTAACGGACTACGGGGCAGAATTTCGAGGGGAAGTCTTGAGGAGTCTAGTCCTGCACGGTGTCTCGATTCGCAATACCGCTCCCCATATGTCGCAATCGAACGGACTAGTAGAAAACACCAACCGGTTGATGAAGACAGTGTTACGACGTAATATCGCGGCCCAAGATACAAGGCCTTGACCCGATATCGTCGACCATATCCTAGCTATTCACCGAGGGACACCTCACGAGTCTACCGGTCTGTCCCCCTTCCAATGACGGACCAATAGTGTGGCCTGTGTAGCCCTACCAACCCTAGATGATGAAACGACCCTTCCGCGACGGACCACTAGAGCAACGGTTAAAGACAAGGCCCAACGCCACTTGGAATTAATGGAAAAAGCCATCCCCCGGCCAACCCGAAAACGACAGAGAATGAGTGAAATGGCCCATGGACGACAGGTCTGGAGCTACGAGGCCTGAAATAGGAACGCTGGACCACGGCCCCAATATAAGTTAGGGGACATAGTGCAAGTGAGGAAATGTGCTCGCCAGGGTACGCTTGCGCCATTATTCTTCGGGCGATTTCGCGTGGTCGAACTCTGTCCTAGCGGAGTGAACACCGTGCGGCTCACACCGGAGGTGTCGGGGAGTCGATCGGCTCGTCCGATCATTCGGCACGTGTCCTACCTTCGCCTTCTCCCATCTTCCCCTTCTGTTCCATCCTCCACGTCGTCCCCCGACAGTGAGGAAGAAGACGATCCTCTTAACTACCTTGATCCTTCTTCTCAGCCCTCGTCTCCCTCGCCATCACCAAGAGTTTTTCCACCGAACAAGTCATCAGCGAGCGGCTAATGGTACCCGGGGGAGCCATCTCTGCAATCCGGCAAGTACAACATCCTCGATTGAGTCCAGATTTTCTCCTATTCGTGGCCTTCTTCGGTACAGCGGCCATTCACACGGCGGCGGAGTTCCGATTCGTGCAGTCCGGGGCGGCACGAATATTGGTTGAGGTGTCGGCCTTCTTACGCATGTCCCTACCCGGCTAGAGCCACATATCAGTCATTGTCGTCTTTACAAGCGACATCACGACACTACATCCAGCAAGGTGCACCTCAATCCTCCGACAACTGCGAGACTAGGCAGCGAGCATCACGACTGACTGGTGCGATTACTAGCTCGACCGCACCATTGTGTCGTAACAGCTAACGACATCGATCTTCAGCTTCGGGTTTCCTCCATCACGCCAGAGGTCGTCCTCCCGGAACTTCGTCCTTTCGTTCGGCCTCAATGAACCGCCAACGCCTCTCTACCTTCAACCTTCCCTCCGACATTCCTACGTTTTGGCAGTCTGTTGTGGACCCCGCTCTATCGTTCAGAATCAGGCAGTTGGACGTGCCGATTTTGGACGCAACCAAGTGGGCACAGTGGTGGCACGCTTACATGGCGCTCAACTTCTGCCTCCTCGAAGTCGTTTTCCATTGGGCGAAACCTGCTCAAAGGAGCAAGAAGGACGAGATCCCGGACAACAAGTCGGAGTTATTGATTGTCCAGGCCTGGAGGACGGACACAAAGGGTGAGATTTTGGGGATCCTGTTTGGGGAAGTATGTGACGGCCACCTGGATTCAATCACGGACGAAGTGCTGGTGTTCTTGACCCAACTGCTGGACGACCTACCCTTGGACATCCTCTCGCACTGCGACGAAAGGTCGGGGACTGCCACACTCGCCCGTACCTTGACCCCCTATCTCATGTGGTCTACGTGCACGGTGCTCGACGTGGATCATTGCTACTATCCCTTTGAGGGCGCTTACCTGGTTATTGACGTCACTGATCTCTCCTTCTTGGATCCTCTCATCCCGCGAGTGAACGTAGCAGAGACCAGCGAGGAAGCCGAAGAGGAGGAAGAGGAAGCAGTCGAGGAAGGGATCGAGGAGGAGGACCATCTTCAGTACACGGAAGGAGAGGAAATGCCAGAAGAGGAAGAATCAGAGGCTGAGTCGGACGATCCCGATTATCACGAATCGGAGAACGCGGAGTCAGAAGAGGCCAGCTTGGAACGGGAGGAGACTGAGGAAGAAGAGGCCAGATTGGGTGAGTCGAGCGGTTCCGACGAACTGAGCAGGGAAGAGAGAGAGGTCGTGGCACAGAGGAAACGGGCAGTGGTAGAAGGCAAGCAGCTGATCGAGGAATTGGGAGGGGCACCGCCGCAATTGCTACAGGGCGATCCGACGCTCAATTTGGAACTGCCACAAGAAGAGGCCGAGAGAAATGGAGGCGCCACGATAGAGGGATCGGGAAGCCGGCGTCGCCGAAGAAGCGAATCCCCGGCCCAATCCTTTCCCCGACCCAACCTTCGCCTACGTCGAGATGCGGGCGCTCAGGCTTCGTCCTCGATTGTTATCCCATCGTCCTCATGACTTCCTCACTCTTCAGCAGCTCGTAGGCCGACCCCCATTCCCTGACGGATGGCACCCCTTCCCGCCTTCCCTCTTCCACCATCTCTACTCCATTCGCCTCCTGACCACAATCTCCCGACACATTACCACTCGCTCGCTCGCTACCTCTTTCCCCCTCCACGTCCTTCTCTTTAGTGTGGATTGGCAGGAATTCAATAACATAAAGTTGTGTTGTATCATCGTGGGCACGATCCCAGCAGGCGAAGAGTATGACGATTTTCGTGCTGCTATCCACCGTACCCTCTGCACGCTCTATCCCGATTACCTCGCCTCACTCCCCCACCAATGTCGACACCCGCGTTTTTCCCGCATTCACCACACGATTCATTACACCCAACTCCCCACTGACGATCGAGAGATCCGTCGCTTCATGCCTCCCCTTCCCTAAGTCCATCCACCACCAGACTGCCTTTCTTGGGTAACGTTTAGAATGGAGCGCATGAATGTCACGTTGGATGACTTCCACACTTAGATCTTACGGTAAGTGGCACGTGCAAGCTCCCCGTCGATCCTCGGATCACGGGTCGACACCTGATGAGAGAGCAAGCAGGAGTTTGCCCAAGATTGGAACCCCTTGGGCGTCACATATGTGACAAACTACTTTATGCAATCGCCCGACTTTCTACGTGAAGCGACTTCGGGGGTTGGAAACTGGTTCGTCGGGTGGAAGATAGGGGTCGGCCGGATAAGTTGCATGAATACCATCGCTTCTTTCTTTCTTTGCTTTTGGACGAGAGTCGGGAAAGTCCCACCATGACGATTGAGTGACCACGATAAATAACGGTTGTCATAACTTCTTTTGTTTTGCTGTGGGAGATGGGAATTTTGGCGTGATTAGCGAGCAGGAATGTCGTTTTCAAATTTACAACGGATGACGGGCTCTTGAAATTGTTTCTTTTAAGCTTTTAGGAATTTTTTTTTGCAAATAGGATTTAGACTAGGAATTTAGGTGCTCTGGAATTTTATTGCGTCGCGCTTCTTGCTCGCACACCTCTCACCGCAGTGGGAATTGGGCTCTGACTGAATCGCGCCCTTAATCCTACATGTAACTACAATTTTTGGCGGGCGCGATTGTAACTGTACTCCTTCTTGATTCTCTCTTGTTTCCCCACCTTCTTCCCCTCTGTCGTGCATACCTCGTCCTTCACTCTAATTGGATTGAGCGACTGCGTGACCGGATCGATGTGTGGAGTGTGGTTGCGTCCCCCACGCTGCGGCTTGGCCATGCAGGCGTAGGCGCTTCCTTCACTTCCCATTCCCCTCACTTAGGCATAATTTCGAGTACATCGCGCAAGTATGCACACTATAAATTTCGCAAGCACGATTAGTTTGCTCTCTCCGAATTTGGAAGTTAGCGCGGTCAGTGAGGATCGGCTAGCCAGTAAGTGAGAAGATAAGCAGAAGTGAGTCGGGCGACCCGACGAGCTGGTGCCGGGTAGGCGGGGTTGACGTGAGGCCCACGACGGACTGTGACACACGGGCGAAATTGGCTTGCGTACTTGGACTAAGCGGGGTGACGACTCTGTGTTGGTACGAGGCGACGGACTGCCCGCATCGGAGGTGATGCAACGCAGATAGATAGATAGATAGATAGATAGATAGATAGAGAGAGAGAGAGAGAGAGAGAGAGAGAGAGAGAGAGAGAGAGAGAGAGAGAGAGAGAGA